CTTCACTGAATGTAGAAGAAAAGATAATTATTATAAACATAAAGAAAATACAGGTAAACATCAAAGCAAAATCCCAATACACAGGCAGACAAAGACAAAACACGAAGTAAAACAACCGATAGGGTGTCCTTGTGGAGTCTCCGGCCGGGCAGCTGCGCACTCGGCCGGATAACACAAAAGGCTGTTACGGACTGAATGCAAAGAGGGACAGGACAAGCAACTTTGGCAACAAGCAAGGCAAGCTAAAGGTATATTATTCAATTTGCATACAGCGAATGCATCTTCGGATTATATAATATTCAAGAAATTGTATTATATACTTTACGACTGATTTAGATGAAGGATACTTGTATATGTATGTGTATCAAATATATATAATATATAGACATATATGTATATATGTATGTATATGTATATATATAAAAATAAACACACACACACACACACACACACACACACACACACACACACACACACACACACACACATATATATATATATATATATATATATATATATATATATATTGGTTAAAATCTCTTGGATGTAGTGAAAAAAAATAAAATCTTGGTAAACTCTTGCCAAACCTTACGTGGGTGTCTCAATAAAATGCTAATTTTAATCCGTGATTATACCGTCTCTGTTTGTTATTATCAGCATGCGTCGTCATTTTCAAGTCCTTTGTTTATAAATGTTGTTTGGCATGTTTGTCTACCACATGTCTACCAACAGGAGCCAATTAGAACGGAAAGTGAAACCCCAAAACTGATAAAAAGGTCGGGAGTGTTTGTATTTCAAACAAAAGATAAACAGCTATAACCTTTTGAATAATGATCAATCATCTGCTTCTGATTTCTCTTCGTATCTCCTGGCCTTCCCTCAGTATTTGCTTAGTTCATGTAACTTTAAATTCGGCGAACATTCAGCCATCTTTGCTCACTGGTGACGTCACTGCCAGCTTCAACTCTGTCGTCATGGGTTGATCAAGGACGATCCACTTCTATTAAGAAACCTATATCGGTTGATGTGGACATCTATGCGCTGAGGTTGACTGATATATTGAATATTTAAAATAAAGAAAGGTAAGAAAAGATCTCTTGGAGAAAGTAAAGATTAGAAGAGAAGGCAAAGGTGACTCAGTGACTGGTCGGGGGAGGTTCCTCGCTCGAGCGATGACGTCACGCTTGGATGCAGCCTCTGAAGAAAACGGGAAACACGAACTCGCGATCCCATGTTTTTTTTTCTAGGAAGACGACCCTCGCCGGAAATCGGTGACGCTGCCGTTTGTTGTATTAGGTCTTTGCGACAGATTCTGGGTTTATTACGTATGAGACGGAATTTCCTTTCGAATGCCACAGTACCCACGAGGTCAGACGTAAGACGCAGTTGCAATGTTTACACGCGCGAACGAAAATTCCGACCTCGCCCTTTCCTGTCGGCGCTTCCAGTGACTGCACACTCCCATTCTCGCATTTTTTCTCACTCGCGTAATAAGGTTCGAGATTTCTCTATCATTTTTCAGCGTGTGTAAGCTAATTAGTTTATTTCAGTCTCCTTACAAGACCGTTCGTTCTTCTCGTGGTTTGCCAGCGTTCGCTCGAAATCAAACAATATAAAAACGGCGTATTGTTGATTCCGACCTCCAGTAAAGAGCATGGGTCGCCGAAGTCACGAGAGAGAACCACCCACGCTGCTTTTCGAAAATGAATTCCAAAATATGACTAAGGGCCGGTTTGTTAAAATTGTGCGAGGCCCGATCCAATGAATAGGGAAAAAAAGATAAAAAGAGAGGATTTGTGTGAATATGTGTGAGTGTGTGAGTGAATGAGAGAGAGGGGGAGGAAGGAATGAGAGTGAGAGAGAGAAAGGGGGAATATTCATTGTACAGACATGCATATATATATACAGAAATAAATGCATATCCATCAGTCTAGACATGCATATCAACCGCACAGATAGATAGATGAATGTGAATATATCTGAAAGATAGACAGATATGCATCTATTTCTGCGTATATGCATGTCACTATTTACGAATATTAATTGGGTCGGGCCTTGCATAATTTTAACAAACCGGCTGTAAGCGGGATATTCTGTCTACCAGAAACAACGAACTTCCGCAGAGACAAGCAAGACGAAATAGCAACGAAGGTCAAGATGGTGGTGAGTCATGGAATTCCTCTGCTCAGCAATTACAGTATAACTTCTAATCGACATTTTCCTCCTTATACAACAGGTGCAGGTGAGAGGCGTTGTGCTTTTGGCATTATTTAGGTAACATGTTTAGGGTTAAACACGCGCAGGTTCCTTAAACTACGATATATACTTATAAAATGACAACAAACTTAACAAGGTGCTTCGTGTCTTGGAAGAAGTTACTCCTACTTCATATTCCTTCATCAATATCAACTTTCTCTTCTGTTTCTTCTTTCATGGGATGACTGAATCCCAAGTGCACATCTTTTGTTGGTTTGTATACCGATGATTTCTATAAATTGGA